TGCATTGGCTGCCCATCAGATTCCGCATCGACTTCAAAGTGTTGACGCTTACGTACAAAGCCCTAAACGGTTTAGGGCCTCGATACTTGGCGGAACGCCTTCTACCACCAAGATCTACCCGTGTTACTCGCGCGAGCCAGGAGGCTGAGAAGCCTAACGCCGAGGGAGGCCCGGAAGGAAAAGACAAGAAATCGGGCCTTCTCGGCGGTGGCTCCTCGCCTCTGGAACAACCTTCCCCCTGATATTCGCGCGGCCCCCTCGCTCGGTATTTTCAAAAAGCAATTAAAAACATTGATGTTTCGGCAGGCCTTCCCTCCTAGTTAATTCCTGATCCCCTTCTCTTTTCTTTCCTAATGTTTTAACCCAATGGTTGAAAGTTTTCTATTATGTAATTCTGTTGTTTTTATAGTGCTATCCCATGTTGTAAGCCGCCTAGAGTGGTCTATCGACTAGATAGGCGGGATATAAATAAAATAAATAAAATAAATAATAAATAAATGATGTTGGGAAAGTGTGAAGGCAAGAGGAGAAGGGGATGACAGAGGACGAGATGGCTGGATAGGGTCATCAAAGCGACCAACATGAAATTGACCCAATTCTGGGAGGCAGTGGAAGATAGGACGGCCTGGTGTGCCCTGGTCCATGAGGTCACAAAGAGTCGGACATGACTTAACGACTAAACAACAACAGATTAGAACCAGCACTCTGAATTTATTATTTATTTAACTTACATGCCGCCCACACTTCCCAAATGTCTCTGGGCGGCTTACAACATTTAAAATACAATAAAAAGACAATAAAATTGTGCCCAGAAGCAGATCAGCAATCAGTGGAGCTGCTCTAACAGGGAATTTACATGATCCCTGTAACCTAAAATTATGCCCAGAAGCATATCAGCAATCAGTGGAGCTGCCATAACAGGGAATTTACATGATCCCTGTAACCAGCCCGTCAGCAATCTCGCTGCTGCATTTTGGACCTGCTGAAGTTTACGGACACTTTAGATAGGGGTTTTACCCTATATTTTAATCAAATCCTTCAGTTTTGTTTTTAGTCTACCGTTGCTTGCTGTGTTTCACTGTAGGGATTGTTCTTGATTTTGCCATGATGCATAATTTTACTTGTCTGCTGCCTAGAGTTTGATTTTAGGCACAGAAAAGGTACAATACAAATACTGAAATAAGTAAGCCCTAAAATACAGTTCATGCACCTCATGTATACGAAGAGTTCTGTATATGCCCATTATAGGCAATGTTTACTACTTGATATTTTTTATGTTTTGTAAGCTCCACTACTCTGTAGGTGCTCATATTTAGAAAATCTAGACGAAATGTGTCAGTTCTATTTCTGCTCCTGTCTAAAATTACTGAATTCATCACAAGTCGACTACTTGTTATTGAAAAGAAAACAGAGGGAGACCAGCTGAGGACAAGCATTGCAAGAAAGAATAGCTGTCTTAAGAAATCCCCTGGTAAAATTTTAAAAGGTTTGCATATACTCTTGGAGCCACACATGGTACATTGATTTAATTATGCTTCTTGAATTTGTTCTTCTTTTCTTTTTCTTTTTTTCGGTTCCCTCTTATAAATCTCTTAATTTCTTAATTCCCCCTAAGGGACAGGGTCCGCAGCCTGGGGGGGGGGTGCTCCTGGACCCCAGTCTAACTTTGGAAGCCCAGGTGGACACAGTGGCCAGAGGCGCCTTCCTTCAGCTGCGGAAATTATACCAGCTGCGGCCCTACCTGGACGAGCAGAGTCTCATGAGTTACACACACACTGGTAACATCTAACATAGATTACTGCAATGCGGTGTACGTGGAGCTGCCTTTGAAGTTGGTCCAGCAACTGCAACTGGTCCAGAGTCCAGCTGCGCGGCTGGTGAGTGGTGGGACCGCTAGAGAACACATCAAGCCGGTCACAGCCCGGGCCCAATTCAAAGTTCTTGTTCTGCCAACTGAGGGTCCTGATGGCAATTTTTAGAGCACTGTATTTTTAAATGCATTTTAACTGTTTTATCTTTTTATTGCCACCCAGAGACCTTTGGGTAGTGTGGGCGGCATATAAGTTAAATAAATAAACACATTTTTACCATTTCTGTCAGCACATTCTGCCTCTTCTTCCTCTGAAATCTGTCTGGCCTTCTTCCTGTGGAAAATGTTGGGCATCCCCCTAATTTTGTCACCTGCAAATGGGCTCTGAGTAATCCCATAGAATCAACAGAGCCCACCACTGAGAACGGCCAAGCCCAGGGCCTCTCCCACAAGGCCCATGTTTTATCCACAGACCCCAGAACTTTGGTGGTGGGGAAATCAGAGAACAAGAAAAGGCCAACGGTGTTCCCCACGGTAATGCTTTGGGCAGGTGGTGGGGAAATCAGAGAACAAGGCCAAGGGTGTTCCCCGTGGTAATGCTTTGGGCAGGACAGCCACCCAGCAGCCTCACCTACACGGCGGTCAACGCCAAGCCCCCTTTTCCTCACCTTTGCAGACAACAGTGGCCTCCGTGGGCAAGGCGCTCACAGGGTCTCCATAAGTGAGCCTCGCCGTGAAGGGAAAAGTCCTGCTTCCTCCCCTCACACCGTAGTTGAACTCCAGCAGGTTGTACAAGGAATTTCCCCGCACGTCTCCCTCGAGGAAAGCAGAAAAACGCTCCTGCAAGCAAAGAAAGTCAAAGCCACGGATTAACCCACTGAGACGATTCCCACCGTCTTTTCTACAGCTGCTCCTCTGACCACCGCAGAGGGCCCCCAGGAGGAAGGCTGCCTTCGCAAGCGCACCTGGGTGTGTGTGTGTGTAATGAAACTCAGCATTATACTTGTTTGGCCACCATGGAAAGAATTTCTTATTTTCTTAGGTCTTTTACAAGGTTATTAAGGGATCTGAACAGGCTTAAGAATCTGGTGTACGTAAGTACTGTACGTGTGTGAGGATGGTTACACCATGGAAAGAATTTATTTTCCTAGGTCTTTTATGTAAGTACTGTACGTGTGTGAGGATGGTTATAAGACTGATCTGTGCTGCTTGAATTGTACTGTTTTGCTGATTTCTTTTAACTTGTTGACCTATGTTTCTACTTTATGTGTTAGCCCGTAGCTAAATATAGATGCATGCTATGCAGAGCACTGAAGTCACGGGAGTCTAGTGGCATAAAATGAAACCAGCCAGCCCTGCAACCGCTGAGAGATGCTACTTTCTCCCTTCTCTAGGCTTGCATAAAAAAATAGTCCTCTTCAGCCACCGAGAGAGGGTTGTTCTAAGCGTAGGGAGGCTGCCCTGACAGCGGACGGCAGACTCTTCCGCTCTGAAAATGCACATGAACTGGGCAACCGCTGAGAGATGCTACTTTCTCACTTCTCTAGGCTTGCATAAAAAAATACAGTCCTCTTCAGCCACCGAGAGCGAGAGGGTTGTTCTAAGCGTAGGGAGGCTCCTGACAGCGGACGGCAGACTCTTCCGCTCTGAAAATGCACATGAACTGCACCAGCAAAGGCTTGGCCTATGCTCTCGGGTAGTCTGTTATAACTGCTGCAAGGTCGGAAGACCAGCTGTCGTGAGATCAGAAAAGGCTTGGCCTATGCTCTTGGGTAGTCTGTTATAACTGCTGCAAGGTTGGAAGACCAGCTGTTGTGAGATGGAATCCAATCCGAGCTCCCATCACCTGTTCCAGCTCCTGCCAACCGAGCCGTTCAAAAACATGCAAAAATGTGAGTATTTTATTTATTTGATTTATACCCCGCCCATCTGGGGAATCCAATCCAAGCTCCCCTCACCTGTCCCAGCTCCTGCCAACCGAGCCGTTCAAAAGCATGTAAAAATGCGAGTATTTTATTTATTAATTTGATTTATACCCCACCCATCTGGTCTAAAAGACCACTCTAGGCGGCTAGAGTTTATCTAGAGCAGATAAACAGGTACCACCATGGTTGTTCCGTGTCTAGACGCGCTGGCTACGTGACCATGGAAACAGGCTTCGGACAAATGCTGGCCCTATGGCTTGGAGACGGGGATGAGCACTGCACCCTAGAGGCGGACACGACTAGACTAAATGTCAAGAGGAACCTTTACCTTTTACTTAGTCTGTTATAACAGCATGTTGTTTTAATTCTTATAGGCAACAAATTACTGTTCGAGACATCTGGATAAGAATGTTAAGCATGTGATTCCAGTTATTTTAGACAGACTTTTAAAACTGGTGATATAAATGACTGATCTCCTTCTGCAATCTACAGAGCTACTCTTAGCCCTTCCATTAATTCAAAATGCCGCCTCACTAGAAGCCGACCTGGACCATGCTCTCTCTTCTCCTCCCATCCAAAGCAGCTGCAGGCCTCATGGAGAAGCAGCCTCAATCCCACAGAAGCTGTCTACACACCTCTCTGCACCACAGCGAAGCTGGACTGCTTTCTGTTCTGAAATAACTGAATAAAGAGGCTCGATCTTGCTTCACAGACATGTTTCCAGGATCCTGTAAAAGGACATTGGCTTTCTCACCCAGCGATGACTCTCCTACCTGGAGCTGATCCGCCTGAAATTTCCTCCCGTCATAAGCATTCAGGTGTTCCGACAGCATGGACAAAAAACGCCTGATATCTGTCTGCAAATGTTCGCGAGCGATTTGCTCCAAAGGGATGAAGGACGGGACAGAATGGCGCTGGATCTGGATCGGCTGCTGTATGAGGAGGTCCAGGTAATAGGCGCCCAGGTAGGTGCCCTCAAAGGCGGTACTGATGCACAGGCAGGCCCCTCGCTTTGTCAGCTTCCCACTGAGACCTAAGGCAGGCAAAGCACCAGTCAGAACAGCAAATCAGGGCAAATGAAAGGGGGCTGTGGCTGGTATGAACACACCTGTCCAGGGTTGTTTAGACTTCCGCTTTGTGACATGGGACTGCTTCTCATCAATGTTAAAACCTCCAGCCTCCTCCTCCTCCTCTTTTTTGCTTTCTAAATGCAAAGAATGTGGGCAAAATAGAGTTTGACACTTCCGGTGTGTGCCGTATCGAGGACACCCCACTGACCCTCGTGTATCAAATGGCTTTCTGCGACAGGCAGAAACTTGTGTAAAACCGGCACTGCGTACACAAGAGGGAGGCCTCAAATTACTCCACAGCCAAAGCGCTACGCTCTGCTGGTGCCCAACAACAGCCTGGTGTTAGGAGTTAGCACAGAGTTTTCAAGGTTATTGAAACCCAAAACAATTCCACGAAAACTGAAGACACAAGGCAGCAGTTGGCAGATGAGAGTTGGCGAGCCCAACATCAGGGGGTCCTGCCTGATCTAAGAGACGAGAGAATCTGCACGCCAAGGCTCACCTGCCCTATCTGGTCTTTGTTTGGTCTGTCTGCCGCCTTGGATGTAGACTTGTGCATACATATCGGGTGCGGAAGGTGGGAGAACACTTTGTGGCTTCTCTGTTTTGCAGAGAAAGAGCCAGAGGAGCAGGAGAGATGGAACCAAAGGTCACTAACAGGAGCAGAGCTTTATATGTATCTGAGAAAGGTACCTGTCAGACGAAAAACCTGCAGCAGGCCTTTAGCGTTCTCTATCTTCCACTCCAAGAGAGCTTGTCGGCTGGCTTTGGTTACCTGGGAAGTCTGCAAGTCACTCTGGATGGCTTCTTTGCTCCCAACATGCTGCGACAGACCAGAAAAGCATGGCTCAGCTACAGGGCATGTCTACGTTGCCTTTGACACCTCTCCAAACACCAAGAGAAGTTTGTTGCAGAGAATTAGCAAGGAAACCACAGCACAGAGACATGGCAGTGAAAAGAATAAGGCTCCCCCCATGTGTGATCCTCAAAATAGCCCACATATACTTAGACAAGGCGCTTAGTCTTGCTCCTCTATTTTGTACGGATAACGGAGTTACTACTAGTGAGTCATATGCGATGACCCAGTTGAGAATTCAAATTCAGCCTTGTTCCACTGGGATAGGACAGACAGCTTCCTGTTGGTAGTCCACCACCAAACACGGAGGAATTGTGGGTTAAAAGGAGTTCCCCAGTTAAGTGCTCAGACTATTTTTTACACAGCTAGGACGAGCGAGGACCAGAAGCTAACAGGAATTCAATCAGATGCTTTGACAGAACTGCCTTTGTCTGTTCTTGGCCCAGGTAAGGAAAATTCATACAGAATGAGACTACAGTTTCCGGTGACTAAGAGAGCCATTTGACAACTTAGAACTAAAAGCTGTCACCGTGATCTGTTTTTTTCTGGAATGAGTCACCAGAGATCATGCAGGCAGTGAGCAAACAAAAGCAAAGCAAAGCTGGGTCAGGAGAAGCCTCTCTTTGGAAGGCTGGCAGGCAAAGCAGTGGCAGGAAGGAACACATTGTGGCCACTTATGCTACAGCCAAGGAAAGGAGGCCATCCATTGATCCACCAGCTCCTTTCTCTCCTAAAAACCCATCAGGCCACTCAAGATGATTCATACGACCGACATAAGCTCTCTGCTGTTGATAAAAACCTGTGGCTTCACCTCCTTAGTATGTGTGTGTGTTGGGAGGGACAATATGAAAGTACAAACAAAGCCATCAGCCAGCACTTTCGGGTGAAGAAAACCCCATTGGCACAAAAGACATGCTGCTGACTTCAATGGACCATCTCGATGCCTGTATCTAGGCATAGAATTGGGTTTTTTTATTTTTTAGGACAGAAGCCACAAGCCAAAGACAATTCAATGTAGTCACAAACCACTGCAAGCTGCTTAGAACAGACAGGGACTCCTCTCCTGGGATTAAAATCATGGTGGCAGCTCACAAAGGGGCAAAAATTCCACTACACAAAATTACAATGGTATAAATCAGATTCGGGTGCTGGAAGTAATGAATTTAACTTCCTATCCCATTTTTTTAGTTTCCGAGGCTCCCCAGGGCTCTCTTTTGCTGTGGGGGGAAGCATTTGGGAACTTTGGGGGGGGGGGACTTAAAAAGCCAAAAATTACCATTGACAAACCACTGCTCAGATTGGGACTGCCAGTGACAATTTTTTTACTTTTAAAATCTCCCCTTCTCTGTCCCAAGGCTCCCAAAGACTTCCTCGGGGCAAAAGGAAGCCTCGCAAGTGAAATGGGAGGATATATTGCAGGGAAAGAATAGGCAGGAGCAAAAATCCTTTTCCGACTAGTAGCCATATTTAAAGGCATCAACCACCTTTTTACACATACCTAATCTTCTTGCTATCTAGAATTAAAACTGATGTTTTTGAACAGCAAGAACAATCACTTTAAAGCTCGATGGGTATACATTCATACTTGCAGGCACAATTTTTTAAATCCTTCCTCTATTCCTAGGTAAATGGCTCGGGGTTTTCCTGATGCCACACACTTACCAGAGAACGACACATGTTCACCTTGGCCCTCAACTCATCTCTCTGACGCTTCAGCTCCTGGACTCTAGCTTTCATCCAGGCCACGTCCTCCTGGCGCGTCCTCGCTGCTCCTCGCTTCAGGGCCACCTTGTGTGCACCGGCTTCCAACTCTTCCAGGTGGGAAAAGATATCTGGAAAGCAATCCACAGTTGTTTACAGAGTTCAATTTCCTTTTAATAGGATTTTAAAACTTCCATTTTTAATTTATGTTTCAATTTTTGAAATGTTATTGTTAAAGTACTTCTTGGTTTTTTTTAAATGCCATGTGGTAATAATCTTAGTTCAAAGCTCAAAACTCTTTATGGACTCGAGTGTGTCCATTGTATTTTTATATTATGAGACACTGGCTAAAAACCTATAGCACATCTCTTTGCGCGCGACAGGAATGACGGCCTCAGCAGTGGCAAATCGCCACTGACTAATGGCTCCCCCTAGCAATTTTGGTGTGGATGCAACTTTGTTGTACTGTATGCATCTTGCAAGCATCCTCAAATTGCCTTCAACCAGTGGTGATTTGCCACTTGTGATAACTGTTTGAGAATTTGGTTAATTCCATTGATAGTTAGCAGATTATAAGGTACAGACATCAACAGCAGGAAAAAAGCACGAGAGAACCACTTTAGTTTCTCCCCCTTTCAAAGTGACTAGCAGCACTCCATATCTTATGTCTGTACCTGATAGGCGTCTAGAGTGGTTGCAAGACCAGATAGGCGGGATATAAATAGAATAAATAAATAAAATAAATAAATATCTTAAAAATCACCGTGGAAGCATTTTAAGTCAAAAAACCCAGAGGTGTCTTTACTTACAGTTGTTGTCTACAGTTACAGTTAGGAGACTGAAAAACAGAGTGCCCACATGTGGGAGAGACCAGCACCCAGGGCTTAAAAATCGCCGTGGAAGCATTTTAAGTAAAAAAACCCAGAGGTATCTTTACTTACAGTTGCTGTCTATAGTTACAGTCAAGAGACTGAAAAACAGAGCGGCCACATGTGGGAGAGACCAGCACCCAGGGCAAGGCAAGTATTGAGAGGTGTGGGCCACGTGCCCCCACGCCATGTGGGGCCAGGTGCGGTGGGAGAAGCCCTCCAGGGTGGTGCCACAAAACGGCCATGGAGCCACTCCAAAGTTTGCATGGGTGGACCTGGTGCCTGCTGGCAGCTCAGACTTGGGACTGCCAGGAGGCAATACAGGAGTACAAGGAGCGGGTGCAGGGGTGTGCCAGCCAGGGCAGCCCATGTGCCCCTAAGAATTTTGTACCCTGGGCCACTGCCCCTCTGCCTCCCCACGCTTTGCCACTGGGAGAGACTCCCACCATGATTTGTGCAGGCTTGGAGGTCAGGAAAGAAGGAAAAGGAAGAGGGAGAGAGAAATGAAGGAAGCAAGCAAAGCAAACCCATTAAGAAAGGAGATGGCAAAGGAAAAGGAACTTAAAACAGTAGGTTAGCATTCATGATATGTCAATGAGCGTTCTCGACCAAAAGCCTCGCTGGAATTTTTTTTTTGGGGGGGAAACCTTCTTGAACCCTGAGGATGATGATGGGGCATTTAGAGGCAGAGGAGGAAGGTGAAACGGCGCCTTCTTCGCCAGAGAGCCCCCTCGCCGCTCTGGAACCGACGGGGCCCCTTAAGAGGACCCTTTCCCGCTTCACGATTCTATGACATCTGGTTCTCTTTCCTGGTCAGCCGCCTCGGGTCCTTTTCCAAGGAGAACGGCCGGGTGGGCAAGACATTTTAAATACAAGAAACAAACAAAATGAAAGCATCTTGGACCGTCCAACAAATCCGTCCGTAACCTTCGGGGTCCTTCCCTGGACTCCCACACTGACCTTCTCGGGCGTCAGCGGCTTCTCCCATTTTTTATTCCCTTGGGAGGAGGAGAAGCCTGAGGAGGGAAAGGCGAAGAGAAGCCAAGCGGGGGTCCTTTCTTTTCTTTGGCTTCCTTCGTTTCTTTCTCGACTCAGTGTGGAGTTTCTGGGGTTTTTTTTTCACCCCTCTTCCTGCAACCTGACAGGACCAAAAAAAAGAAAGAGAGGTCGCGTGACCCAAAGGGCACAACATTATTGCCATCATCACAACCACCACCATCACCACCACGACGTGGGAAAGCACCAACCCGGGTCCCAAAGGCGCCCTCACGGCAAGCCGAGCCTCCAGGGACGGACCTTTCCCACACGGGGCGGAGATCCTCTGGGGAAGGGCGAGATTCGAACCAATAATCGGCCTTTTTTTTTTTTTAAGACCCGCCAACGTCCCGGGTAGCGTTCGGTTCCTTCATTCACGCCGGAGGAAGGGCTGGGCGGAAGCGTCTCGGGGGCCGAAGGAGCCTCCGGATCCCTGGGGGGTGTGAGGCGGCTGCGCCCGGGCGGAGGAAACGCGGCCAACCCGGGTGGGGGGGGAGGGAATCTGCGGCCTGCTCGGGGAAGACTCGGAACGGTCGCCACGGCAACCTACCGGCCGCCGGCGCGCAGTCAAAACTCCCGCCCAGGCGGAGACCGGAAGTGCGTCATTGTCCCTCGACGAGGATGAGCGAAAGATAACGTCTTTCCCGTCATTCCCCGCGCCGGGCGGAATTTCCCTCAAGAGGGGGTGTGGCCTCGCGGCGGCGGCGAGAAATATATGCGACGGAAGCAAAGGCCTCGCTTCTTCCCGGTGCCGGTTGGCGAAATAAATAGATTTATAGGCCGAAAACAAAAGAAGGAAAGGAGAGGCGCGGGGCGCTTTCCCCGACCGCGCCCGTCCGTACAGCAACATGGCGGCCTCGTCCGTCGCGCCTTTCCGTACGGGAAGGTAGGGCGGCGCTCTTGGCCACGCCCTTTCCTTTCCCCCTCCCAGAATGCCGTTCGGCCGCGTCATCTGTTCTTCCGGCCGGCTGACGGGCAAGATGGCGGCGGCGCGCCCGCTGGTCCAGTACGTGGTGCTGAGGGGGGACCTGAGGCGGGAGCCGCTCTCGTGGCCCTTGGGGGCCCTGGTGGCCCAGGCCTGCCACGCGGCCCTGGCCGTCGTGCACGCGCACCGCGATCACCCGGACACCGCCGCCTACCTCGCCCAGGGCGGCAGCATGAGGACCGTGGTGCTGGAGGTGCGTGTGTGTTTGTGGGATTGTATGTGTGTGCGTGTGCCCCCCTCGGTTGCCAGGGAGATGGGCATCCTCCCCAACCCTGAGGAAGGGTTTGGCTTATCAAAATACCGCCTTCCTGTCCTCACCGGCATCATCATCACCATCATCCTCTCGGGGGATCCTCAGAAACCACCACCACCGCGCCCTTAAAATGACACGCGTGTCAGGGTTCAAAGGGGGGGGAAGGGGAAAGAGAGAAGTCGCGTGCGGCCCTCCCGGTGTCGGACGACAACTCCCATGCTCCTTGCCCGGCGAGAGAAGCCTCCGCAGCCCAGAGATGGAGGCGATGGCCCTGGAAATGGGGCGGGCGCCTCGCCCTCGCCAGCCGGTGTTGGGGTGGCTGCCCCCCCAGACCTACTGGCGCACAGAGGTAGTGAGGATGATGATGATGTGATCTTGGGACCCTTCCTGGGACCCTGCCTCTCGCTCCCAGACAGGGAAGGAAACCCCTTGGGCCTGTTACTCCAGAGGCCTTTTTTAAACCCCCCCCCTCTGCCCCTCCAAGGCTTCCTTACAGACTGGGGTGGCCAGGGAGGGGCAAAAGGCCGGTGGGATCATTCGTGAGCTGTGGGCTGCCTTCCCCTTTGGAAAGTCAATCTTTGCATCAATTGCGTTTTTAAAAAAATGTAAGTCGAGGGGGGGGACACAAATCTTCAGGTGGCTTTGAACCAGAGACAAAATGGGGAGGGGGATTGGTGGAAGGAAAGGTTTTCGTCCCCTGCTCCGGCTCCCTCCAGATCACCGGGGTTGACGTTGGCAGAGAGGAGCTGTCCTGTCTTCTCCCTAAGGGGCCACCCTGGATGGATGTTCTTCTCAGTGAGAGGTTTCTTTCCTTCCAAACAATTGCAGTGTGTGGCCCAGTGTCTTCAGGTGTATTTCTTTTCCCTGCGTACCTGCAGGGTAGTTGTGCATAATGCAGCACATCTCATTGATTAGTTTTATGTCAAACAGATGTCTTTCAGTGCTCCTTGATAATCGCGATTTAAGCATGCAGATGTGAATTATATATACCACTGTGGAAAGCACTGCCGCTAGACCTCGTTCAGTGTTGTGTGTTGCACTGAGATTCTGCTTTCTCTTGTCCTTAGGCTTTGGATGAGTGTGCCTTGACAGCTTTAACAGAGACGCTGCAGCAAAACAACATTGATCACAACTTGTGGGTAGAACAGCCGGAAAATATAGCCACGTGCATTGCTCTCCGCCCATACCCAAAGGAGCAGGTACACCAACATCTGAAGAAATTCAAACTGCTGAAATGAGTAGCTGCTTCTCTAGCCGTTGACTGGGAGCAGCATCTCCCTGGTGCGCTCTTGTTACTCTCGGTTTGTGGACAACTGGCTGTAGCCGTTTAATTTAAAGATGTCAGACGTCAGAAGTGGTCCTCTTGCATTGGCGCAGACTCTTTTGTGGCTTCAGCTGAAGGGCTTCTGCAGAGGTGATTAAAGTGGTGCATTCACAGGGATACAGGGCGAGCCGTCTCATCTTTTGATGAAATGCTTTTCTCAGTTTAAGAAGAAACTCTTGAGGCACTTTGATGGATAAAGATGGGGAGCCATGGATTTGAGCCTCATGAAATCCCCCCTTCTGCTCATGTTCAGATATTAAAAAGTCAGAAAATTAATACAAGATCAGATCCGTTAGAACTCTAGATTCTTCTCAGTAGTCTTGGCTGGTAGAACAGGGATTCTTGATTGACCTAGGACAATTACTCTGAGGCTATATATGAACTAACGTTATTTGGCCTTGCAGTGGTGCACTTGACTTTTTTCTAAAAGAGCTGTTAATTGGAGGAATCAATAAAGAACCAGACAGAAAAAATGTGTAAATGACATGAGTTGTTTTTTCTAAACTAAAATATTCAGGTTTAATTGCAGTGTTGGCACTTCAAAATAAATAATTTTGTTTTGTGTTGCCGTTCAGGCACTCGGGCTCAAAAAGGTTCGCCATCACTGTCTTAGAGCATTGTCTGAAGAATACAAAGCAGAGTGAGAACAAACAAAGCTGTTCCTGCAAATGAAAATTGTGAGAACTGCATCTGTCCCTGTGTGTCATCTCCCCCCCCCCGGTCTGCATTGGGGCCATGCTTCTCAATGAAAGGTGTGTGCAATTGTTTTGGGCAACAATTCCCAGAATTCTCCAGGGTGGATTCATGAATGATGTGGAGGTGAAAAGTAAATGATCAGGATTTCTGGTGACCATAAGAGTTGAGTGGGTGGAGAGGATTGTGGAGGGCTCCCGTAAGATCCTTGCAGCCTGGATGAATTGTAGTGAAAAGGCAAATTAAGTCCAGGGATTTGTAAAACGATGCACATTAGAGCACACAGGTCTGAACTGGCAGTAAACGATCAGGAAATTGGATCTTCAAGTTGTGATGGGTAGTTTGATGAGAATGTGGGAAAAGTAAATTAGCTGTTCAGGTTTATTAGGAAAGAAAAAAAGTCCTTCATTTATGCAAATCTATGCAGTTACATGTCTTGTCCCTGCACACCACCATCTTTCTCTCTTTCTCTCTCTCACACACACAAAGAGAAAGAAATTATAACCTGGGAAAAGTGCAGAAAATGGCAACTAAAAGTGTGGAAGTAACTCCCTAGGGGGGAGAAAAACTTGGATGTGTCATTTGGATTTTTTTGGACTCCAAATCCCAGGATTTTCCAGGCATAATTCTGGGAATTCCATGCGGCAAACCGACACTTACATCTCCTCCCACCTGGACAAAGGTCTCATTTTTAGAGACTGTGTGGTCTAGCTCCACCCACCATGTGTATAAAGAAGGAAGCTACTGCAGTGCTTCTAGGGAGTCTTGGTGAGGCACACTCTATAAAGCTTAAGAAGAGAGCGGGAAGACTACAATTTTAAAGTAAGGGCATAATTAAGGTTAGGATTGTTCTTTTATCATAATACCAGAACTTGAGGCCACACAGTGAAACAGATTTTGGGGGAGGCAGAGGACAGAAATGGGATTTTCAACAACAAAATGTCGCGTTGAAGGTTTCAAAAGAGGGTTGGAGCATTCATGGAGGGGGAAGCGGCGAGGATGCTATGGAGTGGGGTCTCTTACCTCTTCTCCATGAAGGAGGAAAATAACTGGGCCATAATGAAAACAAACATCTTGTGGAACCTCTCAGTGGAACATTTCATGAACTCCGATTCCATTGCTTCAGAATTTGAGAACTTGCTTCCCCAAACTCACCAGGAAATAAATCTGATAGTCTTAGAGCCACCACAATACTTTTCGTTGTTGCCAAAACAGAGGACCTCTCTGGCAAACTACACCGAAGGTCAGATACTTGAGGGGTGTGTTCGAGGAAACTTCTTAAGCTGCAAAATGTTGGCAGACCTTAAAAGCCAGGTAGGTGAAGAGATGTCAAGTGGCACCTCCCCTAATTCCCCTCTCTGGAGGGCTGCCCTTTCCCCATCCCTCTGTCTTTAAGAGACGCCGTTCCTCTGAAGTACTGCTTTAGACCGTGTTGTGCTGTAAAGGCCATGGGAGGGAGAATTCATTATGGAAGACCCGGTACCAAAATCACGCAGGGGGTTGTTACCACTAGTCCTCTGGCAACCAGGGCATATCATTTTGGCTGGCTGTAGTCTGAGGCTAGTTTCAGAGCCATGCAGCAAAGCTCCTCTGAATACACCCGGATTTCAGGGATGTGCATTTTGGATTTTTCTGGACAGCAAAGCAAAGTGTGCTGCATATATACCACCCCCTAGTACTTTCTCTCTGGGTGGTTTGCAACTTAATTATCATAGAATCATAAAGTGAAGTTGGAAGGTGCCTACAAGGCCATCACGTCCAACCCCCTGCTCGAGGTAGGAATACAATCAAAGCAGATCTGCCAGGTCATTATCCAAGTTTTTCTTCAACGCCTTCAGTGTTGGAGCACTCACCAACTCCCGAGGTCACTGGAGATGATCGAGAACAGATTTTGTCCGTCCTCTGTAGGACAACCTTTCAAATCTTTGAAAAGTGCTGTCCTATCACCCCCTCGGTCTTCTTTTCTCAAGGCCAAACAGGCCCAATTCTTTCAGCCTTTCCTCCTAGGGCTTTGTTTCCAGCCCCCGATCCTCCTTGTTGCCCTCCTCTGAACTTGTTCGAATTTGCTAGCATCCTTCTTGCAGAGTGTGGTCTCCAGAACTGGACACAGGACTCAAGGTGAGGCATAACCAGTGCTGAATAGAGGGGGACTAGCACCTTGCAGGATTTGGAAGCTATACTTCTATTAATGAAGCCTAAAATAGCATTGGCCTTTTTTGTAGCCCCATCACACTGTTAGCTCATATTTAGCTTGTGATCTTTAGCTTCATGTAGGCTAAAATTTCCCCCCAGCGAGTTGGGTACTCAATTACCCACTTTGGAAGGTTGATTCAACCGTGAGTTGGCTACTCGAGCCCAGGATTCAATTTGGGTCGTGAGCTGAGTCTTCACGGTAGTTCAACCACCGCACTACAAAGCTCCTTAATCAAAGCCTTTAATTTTGCTTTCTGGAAGTCGTGCCTTCAGGATACAGGCGTTACAGACACCTAAATTGCATTCATCTGGAGTGCAATTTGAAGAGACCCTTGTCCAGCAGGCCGAGGCAAAGAGGAAGTCACAAAAGCAGCAAAACCAGGGAGCCGGACAGGGGACAGACTGGATTTGTCTTCAGTGTGGAAGGGACAGTCACTCTCAGATAGGCCTTCTCAGCCACACTAGACGCTGTTCCAAGTCCTCCATACAGACCATGTGACCATCGTCCCTCGGGACTGAAGGAGGCCTACATTCGGAGAGAATTCCCAGCTGGCAGGCCTCCTACCTTGGCGAGGCCCAACTTCCTCTTTTAACAAGAAACTGCTCTGGTCATGGTTGGGAAGCTTCCTTTCCAAAGAGGAAGTTAGGCCAGTCCAAGGTAGGAGGCCTGTCAGCTGGGACATCTCTCCTGGGTCCTGCAGACGGGAATCCCAGAAATGAAAACAATGGGATCTGTAGTCCAGAAAATCAAAAAGGCTCCTCACTTACTGGACTGACTGCTTTGGGGCTGTTAAGCCGTTCCACTCTATGGCTCTTATATCAGGCTGGAATGTTGCCGTGTTTCTGTTCCGTTGTTATTTCTGCGGAGGGAGGGAGAAGCCTTCTTGTGTCCCTATGGAAGGCTTGGGGTGACAACTCCTTCTGGCCGGTCTTGCTCACTCGCGGCACCTCCTTGAAACTAAGCCGCTTATAAAGCCTGCCTGGTCCCTGCCTTTTGGTGAGCCCTCATGGAACATGGGTGAGTGCGATGGGCAGGTGGATCTTCTCTTCTTGGCGTGTCTCCTTGATACTCTGTGTGTGTGTGTGTGGGGGGGGAAGGAAACACATGCTGTCCCATTACAACAGCAAATCTCAACACAGGAAGAGGAGCCCTGGCTGGGCCCCTGTGGAGTCCAGAACAGAGCAAGAACATTCCCGTTCTCTTCCTTTCTTCCCGCCCCCCCCCGAACTGCCCCAATAAGTCTGCTGGTCCTCCTGCTCGGGACCCAGAGAAAAAAAGGCCCCCCCGGCCATTCTCTCCCTCAGCAGCATTTCTGAACAATAAATGCAACACCAGCCACCAGCTTTTGTCTCTTTGTTTTTTTTAAACTCTTGCAAATTCAATTAACAAAAAGCTACACAGTTTTGTTTTTCACACATCAACAAAATTTCAGAAAGAGGAAAGAGAAAGAAAACACCCCCCCCCTCCAAAAGCAATGCTATTTAAGAGCATCCCTTAACTAAGAAGAGAAGGAAACCAATTTATACAAGAGGTTTTTGAGCTATTTACAAGGCAAGGCCTGAGCAGGGCGAAGAATAAACGTGTCTCCCGTTCCACAGAGAACTGCCTTTTTTATTATAATCATAATATTATTTTAAATAGTTTTGAGCTACCTTGGCTGTTAAACAGAATCAAAGCAGAGGACTGACTGCTCATTTTTAATCAGATTTATCTCTCCCCCCCCTCCCCTTATCTACAGTAATGGCCAAAGGGTGCAACTTTGCCAGTAAGCTGCTAATGGGCATCCTTTCTTTTCCATGGGGTTTCCTTTTCATGGGGGACGACAAATATATGACTCATTAATACTAGAATCCCTTAATACATAGAATAGGGCTACAGAATAATGCCTTTGGCCATTCTACCCATCTTTTCTTAAACACACAAAATACCAGGTCCAAGAATATAGAGCAGGTCTCTATGTATAGAGGTCTACATATGTGGGCCTCCCTTGAAGCTGTTCCCACATAATGTTGATGTCACAAGACTTTCATACCACCATTTGA